TCCAGATGCAAGATAAATTCTAATGTGTTTCCCTCTCTGCCTATAAGCTATAGGATGGAGAAGCTGGTAGCAATGCATTAAGCATTTCTTTCAAGCGCAGGGGCAGAGTGGAACTAGCATGTTTGGTTCACTTTGGGTTCACTTTGCTCCTTTGTGGGAAACCACTTCTCAGCGGAGTCAGTTGTTGCAGTGAACTAGGGCTGGTGCAACACAGCAGTTAAAGGCATCAGCTATGATCCAAAGCTGGACGGAATATAAATTTAATAAATGAATTAGGGTGTTGAACTAGGTCTAGGACCTGGGAGACTAGGGTTCAAATCCCCTCTGAGCTATGAAGCTCACTTCACAGCCTTGGGCTAGTCACTGTCTCATGGCTTAACCTACTTCACAGGGTTGTTGTGAGGATAAAACAGAGACAGGGAAAATCATATTATGTCACCTTGCGCTCCTTGGAGGAAGAGTTAACGACAACGATCAAACCCAAAGCAGAAAAATGCAATAGACAAAAAATAGAAACAGAAAGCTCTATATAGAGCCAAATGAAAACCATACACTTACTGTTGGGAGCAAACAAACAACTTAAAGCAGGAACCTGGTTTATCTATCTATCTGTCTGTCAGTCTACAATATGCCAAAGTAATATAGCATAATACTGGCCGACCTTGCAGGTTTGTTGTAAGGATTACTGAGATTATGGACGGGAATTGCTTTGAGCACATGTACAAAAATGTGATATAAATATTTGTTTATAAATTTTCAGTTGAGAAAGCTGTTTATTTAATTACATTGATTCTATAGTAAATCCTCTAAAATTTTATCTACGTCTTCTAACAAACTCATTTCATCATGCATGAGGTTTGTTTTATTCTCATGGCAGTCCTGGGGGGTAGGTTTGGGTGAGAAATTGGCTGTTTACCTTCCCGCCGGAGCGGTAGCTATTTATCTACTTGCACTTTGACGTGCTTTCAAACTGCTAGGTTGGCAAGAGCTGGGACCGAGCAACGGGAGCTCATCCCGTTGCGGGGATTTGAACCGCCGACCTTCTGATCGGCAAGCCCTAGGCTCTGTGGTTTAACCCAAAGATAGTAATACTTGCCTAATCATCATCACCATCACCATCACCACCCACCCTGATCTGAAATCTGAACTGTTAAACAGTTCAGGATTCCACCACACAATTCTGTGCTGTGCTAGAACAGCTTTTTTAAATCTTTGGGGATCTTCAATGAAGCTCTCCTCTGCCATGATCACAGAATATGATCAACCCTTCTATAAGGTCAAGTAGCAAAAATCTTGCTTCAATCAGGGTTTCTTCCCCCACCCTGCCCCATTCCTATCCAGCACTGCCTTCCAACTGAAGCTTGTACCGTAGAAATCTCGTAAGGAGAAACAATTTCATACCCTCCTTAATATCACGACCCCTAATACTCTGGAGAAACATTTCTCACTGATTGAGTCGGAACAGCTGAAAGGTACATACAGTAATTGCAGTTCACTCAATCAGTTAAAAAGAAAGAAAAAGGATGCTAACTAGATTTGGAAGTATAAAGCAGATCACAGGGAATGGCCTCAGCAAGATAAACACCAGTCCAATAGTAGGGATGGTCTGGCTTTAAGATCAATGTGTCGATGTACAGATGTTTTATTATGACTTTCTGTACTGCATCAGATTATTTCTATACCGCCTTATATTTTAAAGGAAGAATCTCAAAGCGGTTTACAACACATCAAAACATCAAATGAAACAATCCAGAATGAAACATATTCAAGCTTCAAGGAGAATATTTCAGATCCTTCTCCAACGGGTCAAAGATTATAAGGTGTGTGTTCTTTGTTGTATATTTTGTTGCTGTAAACTGCCTTGTGAATAGTAATATAGAAAGGTGGTATACTAATTAAAAGTGCTCCAGAGAAGCGGACACGGAGCAATGGATCCAAACTACAAGAAAGAAGATTCCACCTAAACATTAGGAAGAACTTCCTGACAGTAAAAGCTGTTCGACAGTGGAATTTGCTGCCAAGGAGTGTGGTGGAGTCTCCTTCTTTGGAGGTCTTTAAGCAGAGGGTTGACAACCATATGTCAGGAGTGCTCTGATGGTGTTTCCTGCTTGGCAGGGGGTTGGACTCGATGGCCCTTGTGGTCTATTCCAACTCTATGATTCTATGAAATAAAATAACATCAAGTCTCCTGCCCTTCCTCGACTCTCCCAAGTACATATGGTGGGGGGAAAGGAAGAGCACAGGAGAGCCCCCCTTTTTATTTGCTAGCTCAGCAAAAGTGCTTTCTCTTTCATCATGACACCCTTGGCATCAAGATCAACCCTCGGAGCATTTTTGAGAGCAGTAGGAAGAGAGGTTGATGGGGACGAGAATATTTAGCATAGCTTTAATATTCCATAATGGGCCCCTGCCACCTGCACAGGGAGAGTCAATCACATTCCTCTTTGCCTCTAACCCTAGGAGAAGCCGAGTGCTTCATTCTAGCCATTTATCATACAAAGCCCAGAGACGGAGGAAAAGACCTCAAAGGTCAGGAAATCCATCTTCCCGTTGTCAGGGGAGAATTGGCCATATATTATCATATATCATCCCGCAGAAGGTCTGACCTGGCTCATGCAAACGTCAGGAGAAAGAGGCATGGCAGGATGTGTTTGACAAGAGTTTGGGCCACCCAAAGGATCCTGGGAATGTTTGCTGGATTTATTTACTTTTCCCATTTAAATCCCATCTTCCTTCCAAGGAGGCAACAGAGGGGGAACACACAGTTCTCCACCTCCCCATTTTATCCCCACAACAACCCTAGGTTAAGCCGAGATACTGTGATTGGCCCAAGGTCACCCTGTAAGCTTCGTATCTGAGCAGGGATTCAAACTAGTCCCCCAGGTCCTAGCCCAACACTCTAACCACTACACTACACTGCCTTCTCCCACTCTGGCTCAGGTCCTGTTCTTGTAGCATCAACCAAACCACCCATTAGGACAGGGGTCACCTATGTGGCCCTTATGGGTGCAACGGTGCCCTTGAGGTCTGCCCCTGGTGTACATAGAATCATAGAATTGTGGAGTTGCAAGGGACCCTGAGGGCCATCTAGTCCAGGCACCCCCTAACTTGGCCCTCCAGATGTTTTCTGACTACAATTCCGATCATCCCCAACCACTGGTCCTGTTAGCTAGGGATGATGGGAGTTGTAGTCCAAAAACAGCTGGAGACCTAAGTTTGGGAAACACTGCTTTAGGATTTAAGGCAGGCATAGGCAAACTCAGCCCTCCATCATCCCTAGCTAACAGGACCAGTGGTCAGGGATGATGGGAGTTGTAGTCCCAAAACATCTGGAGGGCCAATTTGGGGATGCCTGATCTAGTCCAACCCTCCACAGTGCAGGAATATTTAACTGTCCCTTACAGGGACCGTACCAGCAACCTTGGTGTTATCAGTATCTCCCTGCCAGCCACTGCTCCTTTGGTCATGAAGTGAGGGTGGTTACCTTCTTCCTGAAAAATAACATAAGAGAATGGAAGTAGGAACTTGGAAGAATGATGCTCATTCCCACTTGCCTCTTTCACTTCCATGTGCTTTTCAGTGCTCTCCAGATCCCTTGGGAAAGCAATGTGTGATTCGGTGGTGGAGGAGACATCGAGAAGTGTGTGTGTATGTGCCCATGGCACTGGCTCAAAAATCCAAATGTGCCCAGCAGTCTAAATAAGTGGGCAGCCTTTGCATTAGAACATCAGAGAAATCTTTACCGAGTGTCTTGTGATGACAAACGAGACTAACAGTCCCCTGTTGCCTGCCTCTTGTATACGGGACACCGCATTGGCTGAGCAGTTGTGACATCATGGAATGCTTCCCCAAGATTCTAAGCACATTGGGAGAAGGAACCAGCTATGGAATGTGGCAATTTAGGAGCCTGGCGAACGGTCCAAGGGAACTGGATGCTGCAGCACCAGTGAAAACTGAAAAGATGGAGCAAGGAAGATGGGAGAAGCGGTGATCAGGTATGTGTGAACCACCTCTAAAGGAAATGGAAACACTAAGCACACAGTAGCAGAACGTCATTTTATACCAGGGTGGCTAACCTATGGTTAGCTAGATGTGCCTGGACTCCATGATGGGAGCTATAGTCACAGGTTAGCCACCCCTGTGATCTATGCGTAGTCAGATCACCACCTTTCCCATGAGTGCTCCTCCTCACTACTTAAGAGGGCCAGTGTGGTGTAGTAGTTAGAGTGCCAGACTAGGACTTGGGAGAACAGGGTTTGAATCCCCACTGGGCTGTGTAGCTGACCAGGTGTCCTTCGACCAGTAGTTGCCTCTCTCTGCCTAAATTATCTCAAAGGGATGAAATGAATAGGTGGATCTGTGCACGCATTACTATGAGTTCCTTACTGAAAAGGTGGGATATAAATGCAGTAAGTAAATAGATACAGATATTGAATAAGTAAACATAACTCTACAGCAAAACAGATGCATCTTCCAGCTCCAGCATATTTAGTATGCTGAGCTTACCCGCTTTCGTTTTACAACATAAGAAAGTAAAGGAAGAAGAGCCGGCTGGATCAGGCCGCTGCCTTCATTTATACCCCTGCGTAGCTTCAGAAAAGCGCTTGTCACATGAGACCACCATGGGCTCTTCTGTAAAGCTCTAAAGGTGCTTTGAAACACACACGTGCACGCACAAAAACACACACACACCGCAGGGAACCCGGAGGAACCTTTCCAAGGCTTCACGCTCTTCTTTTTGCGCTTGCAAAGAAAACATTTCTGCGCGGGGCGCAACAAATAAAGGCGATGTTATTGACTTTTAAAAAAAAAAATCGCGAAAGCCCTTTCGCTTTTAAGGTCCTGCTGCTGTACTTCTGGGAGGTCAAAGCCAGGAGCAGGCAAAGAAGATTATGGAGAAAAGCGTGAGTGCGTTTTGTGGGGGTGGGGGATGACACGTGACTTGCACCCGCACACCGTGGCCGGCTGGTGCAAGCCAGAGGCTGCGAATGCAAATACAAACAACAACAACAACAGCCAAGCGGATAATTTCGCCACGCACGCGCGCGCTCGCTGCTTTGCCCCGCACCGCGCAAAAGGCAAGGAAGGGTTGCAATGCCCCGGGAAGCGGCGCGTGCAGCCCCGGGCCCTTGGCGCGCGCCGGAGCCGAGCTGCCTGCAGCTGGCCTGAATCTGCTCGCTGCTGTTGCTCCCTCGCCACCCCCCCCTTCCCCGCCGCCACCGGGTTTCCCGGCTTTGCAATCCTATTGCACATTCTGTCCTGGCGGCGGCGCCCCACTTTGCAGCTCGCCAAGCCGGCGGAGCGCGGAGGCAGCGAACATGGCGACAGGGAGAAGCCGCGCCGGGGAGCCGCGCTCTCCGCTCCGGGAAACGGCCGCCCGGCTGGCGATGCCGCCGCCGCGTCTCGCTCTCCTCCTCCTCCTGCTCTCCGCTTGCAGCCTCCGGCCGGCCGAGTCCGCCGGCAGGACCTTGCGGCTGCACGCCGCTTTCACATCCCGAGCCCAGGACCGGGGCTTCGAGGTGCTGCGGGCGAGCAGTCCCGATGGCACAGTCAGGCAGCCGACGCCGGGCGAGATGCTGCGGAGCAAGCGGAGCGCCAACGCCGCCGCCCAGCAGCAGGAGTCCATGAAGGTGTACGGACAGGTGAGCGGGCACCTTTGGGGCCACCTTCTGGCATCTCTCCATCAAGGCTCCCCCCCGATTTGGCAAGCCAGCCAGCCAGCATCGCGCGGAATTTGGAGCGGGGAGGGGGCGCGCGCTCTGCTTCCAGGTCCTTGCGTTTTCTTTGCAACATCCTCCACTCCACCCCCTCTTTGCAAAAGGAGCTTTTGTTATGCCCCCCCCCCTCTTTGCGCGGCGCTGTCTGGTTGGAATGCACGCAGTTCTCAGTCCAATGTTCCTTCGTTCCCCGCCGCCTTTGAGCCACGCGCGGTTTTAAATTGGGTAGTGGGCGCCCTTCAGTTCGCCCTGCCTCTTCCTCTCCCCACCATCATACTCCGCATCCCCCTCCTCAAATGGATCAGGGGCTCTGGGCTTCCTGGCTCTTAGGCGATCTCTCTCTTTGCTTTTTTTTTTGTGGCGGGGGGAGGTTTGCTACTCAGGTGACTCGCGGGTCCAGTTGCAAGGGTGGTTGGTGGTTGTTGTATCACACGCGTAACTGGTGGGAATCGAACTGTAAATATTTCTTCTTTGGAATCGTTCCGTGTCAGATGCAAACAATGCAGTGCGGGGAACGGAGCGCTGCAGCAGCTTCTCAGCCGCTGCTCGGGCAGGAGGCCAGTTTTGGGCAACCTTGGACCACACTGTCATTTTTATTTTTTTATTTTTTATTTGCTCATCTTGCAACCTTCTCCCTCCCAAAAGTTTAAAAGCGTCAGACTGGAATTCAGGTTGTCCCTGTTGTTTTTTGCTCTGGAAAAAATGGCAAGGAATTGGTGCAACTCAGGTTAGCTTTGCAAATTAGTTAACTAGTCCAACATTGTGACACAGCCCTTTTTGTTTGTTTATGGTGGATGGAAGGAAGGAAAGAATGATATCCAACTTTTGCAAGACCTCCTTTCATGGTCACCTGATGGCAGTTCTGCATCGCCATAGGCGAGCAGCTGTTTACAGTGCCTTTCACCTTTTTGTCACAGGCTACTCTTTCTGAGATCCATCCAAATTAGAGGTTTAATTCTCATCTTAAATTCTGGCGCAGCTTAATTGGCACATCCCCCCTGGGAACAAGAGAAACACACCTGTGACTTAACTTAAGACAGTTGTCTCAGGAGTGGGTCTGACACACCTTGCTGTTGCTTATGCATGTAAGCCAGGGGGGGGGGAGTTACTTCAGGAGAAAAAAGCCCTGGGGTAGCAATTTCTGGATTTTGATTGTTCAAACATCTTATTGTTTTGCCTGTTTGAAAACCTGGGATGGCAGCAGGCCTCTCATGCTGAGTCCTTTCAGAGAAAACAAGTCTTTTTTTTTTTTTTTGCTTTTGAGTTTCCCTTTCTCCTCTTCCCTCCAAATCCCTTTTCCTTTTGTGTTGTGCTTTTGGTTGTAAGCCCTGAGGGTGGGGACCGTTTTATCACTGACATTGGTAAGCTGTTCTGGGAACCTCCCTCCCCCAACTGAAGAACAGGATAAAAGAGTTTAAATAAAAAACAAACAAACCAGACCCTCTTTGAATGATTTCCCACAGGGGAAGGTGTGTAAGAGGATAATACCACATTCCTCTGAACATGAAATATCTCAAATGCATCAAGTTGCATACCTGATAATAAACAGGTGCAGGTTGCGTATTTGATCACTTTAGGCCGGAGAGTAGTGATAGGTTTCTGGGTACCAAATACAGTGGTACCTCAGGTTACAGACACTTCAGGTTACAGACTCCACTAACCCAGAAATAGTACCTGGGTTAAGAACTTTGCTTCAGGATGAGAACAGAAATCGTGTGACGGCGGCGCAGCGGCAGTAGGAGGCCCCATTAGCTAAAGTGGTACTTCAGGTTAAGAACAGTTTCAGGTTAAGAACGGACCTCCGGAACGAATTTAAGTTCTTAACCCAAGGTACTACTGTAAAAAGGTAAAGGTAAAGGTACCCCTGCCTGTACGGGCCAGTCTTGCCAGACTCTAGGGTTGTGCGCCCATCTCACTCTATAGGCCGGGGGCCAGCGCTGTCTGCAGACACTTCCGGGTCACGTGGCCAGCGTGACAAAGCTGCATCTGGTGAGCCAGCGCAGCACACGGAACGCCGTTTACCTTCCCGCTAGTAAGCGGTCCCTATTTATCTACTTGCACCCGGGGGTGCTTTCGAACTGCTAGGTTGGCAGGCGCTGGGACCGAGCGACGGGAGCGCACCCCGCCGCGGGGATTCGAACCGGCGACCATGCGATCGGCAAGTCCTAGGCGCTGAGGCTTTAACCCACAGCACCACCCGCGTCCCATAGGTACTACTGTAGTCTCCAGCTATTGTTGGACTACAACTCCCATCATCCCTAACTAGCAGGACCAGTTGTCAGGGATGATGTGAATTGTAGTCCAAAAACAGCTGGAGACCCAAGTTTGGGAAACACTGATAGAGATTTTTCATCTGGCCTCTATCGTAACCTCTGATCCCAAGGTACAACCCCGCTCCAAAACATGCACAAAAGAACATAGGAAGCCGCCTTATTTCATGTCTGACTGTGGGTCCACCTAGCTCAGCACTGACAGGCAGCCCCTGTTCAGGGTTTGTGGCTTGAGAACATAACTGGAGATGGCATGGATTGAACCTGGAACCTTCTCCTTGCAAGGCAGGTGTTCTAGCACTGAGCTAGGGCCCTTTCCACATGGGAAGCTGCCTAACACTGTGTCAGAGGGTTGGTCCATCTACCCCATCATTGTCTACACTGATTGGCAGCAGCTCTCTTCAGACAGGTCTTCCTCCCAGTCCTGATCCTGGGACCTTCTGCAAGCAGAGCAGATGATCTGCCTCTGACCTATGGCCAGTCCCCTAAAACAGTGTTCCCCAACCTTGGGCCTCCAGCTGTTTTTGGACTACAATTCCCATCATCCTTGACCACTGGTCTTGCTAGCGAGGGATGATGGGAGTTGTAGTCCAAAAACAGCTGGAGGCCCAAGGTTGGGGAACACTGCCCTAAAACACATGGTTCTATGCCTTGAGATGCGGCCAAGGGACTCCTTAACCTCCTCTTCTGCATTGTTAACACAGCATGCCTTGCAGGGGGTTGGACTAGATGACCCCCAGGGCCCTTCCAACTCTACAATTCTATGATATTCTCTCTCTCTGTCTGTCTGTCTCACGAGCAAGACACAGGGAAATGGCACTGAGCAGCTGAGTTCCGAAGGCCTGCCTTGCTGTTCTGGGAAATGAGGTTAAAAAGCCTGTATTTTCATTATGACATTTGGATCTCCCTTTCCTCCAAAGTGGTGTGCAGACTTCTTCACCCCCTGCCTCCATTTTACCCACACATCAACCCTGCATGGTAGGTCAGGCTGAAAGACAGCGAGCAGCAGCTTCCAAGGTCACCCAGTGAGTTTCGCAGCTGAGTGGGATTTTGATCCCTGATCTCTCAAGTCTGTGCCTGATTCACTATACCTCTATTGGTGGAGCCATGGTTTGCTGGCTGGTGCCTCACCCTATTCTGTATGGCCTGTTAAAAACAGCCAGGCCAGAGCATACCGTATTTTTCGCACGATTGGACGCACCGGACCATAGGACGCACCTAGTTTTTTGGGGGGGAAATAAAGGAAAAAATTTTCCCCTTTATTTCCCCCCCAAAAGCAGGTCAGGGAAACCGAACCAGGTCGAGGAACAGCGGGATAGTGGCGCTGCGCCTCCCTGCTGTCCCCCAAGCTTGTGGGGCTGGCCGATGTCTGTCCGGCGGGCGGGGAGCTCTGCTTCAGGGCGCCCCACCCGCCAGGCAGCAGGCTGCTATCCGCAGCGTGGGGAGCCTTGTGGGGAACTCCTGCAAGGCTCCCCACTCTGCGGATGTATGCCTGGCGCGAGGGGCGCTCTGCTTCAGGGCGCCCCACCCGCCAGGCAGCAGGCTGCTATCGGCAGCGTGGGGAGCCCTGTGGGGAACTCTTGCAAGCCTCCCCACTCTGCGGATGTCTGCCTGGCGCGAGGGGCGCTCTGCTTCAGGGCGCCCCACCCGCCAGGCAGCAGGCTGCTATCCGCAGCGTGGGGAGCCCTGTGGGGAATTCCTGCAAGGCTCCCCACGCTGCGGATGTGTTCCCGAAGCGCCTGGAGCTCTGCTTTCAGGGCGCCCGGCGCTCCGGGAAGCAGGCTGCTATCCGCAGCCTAGACACGGCTAGCGGAGCGCTAATCCCGAAGCCCCAAGCTTCGGGATTAGCGCGGCGCTTCGCTAGCCCTGGGAGAGCCACGCAACGTCGCGGGGCTCTCCCAGGGCTAGCGAGACCTTGCCGGCACCCAGAAGCTTGGGGCGCGCTGAGCTCCGCGCGCCCCAAGCTTCGGGATTAGCGCGGTGCTTCGCTAGCCCTGGGAGAGCCACGCAACGTCGCGGGGCTCTCCCAGGGCTAGCGAGACCTTGCCGGCACCCAGAAGCTTGGGGCGCGCTGAGCTCCGCGCGCCCCAAGCTTCGGGATTAATGCAGCGCTCCGCTAGCCGCGGCTAGCGGATAGCTTCCTGAAGCCTGGAGAGCGAGAGGGGTCGGTGCGCACCGACTCCTCTCACTCTCCAGGCTTCAGCGAAAGCCTGCATTCGCTCCATAGGACGCACACACATTTTCCCTTGCTTTTTAGGAGGGAAAAAGTGCGTCCTATGGTGCGAAAAATACGGTAGGTGGGGAACCTCCGGCCCTGGGGCCCCAATATGGGCCTCCCAACCTCTCCATCTGCCCCCCTGGACTCTCCACATCCATCCACAGCCACAGCCATCAGTTGCCTTGCTTTGTGCCTTCCTTGAGGCTTCTTGCCTGGCTGGACTTTGTCCTTGAACTCTGATCATGCCTCTTGCTTGCCTGCTGGAAGGACAGAGGGGAAGGGGTGTGTGTGTAGAAACTACCCCACTGTAAAAGGTAAAATTTACAATTCTTTGCTTCGTCCACTTTTGGTTCCGGCCCTACCCACCACCATTGGGATGTGGCCGCTGGAAGATTGTTGAGAAGGGAAGTTGGCCCTCCGTCAGAAAAAAAATGTTC